CCCTGCTGGCACCACTCAGGGACTGGGGGGAGCACTACCGCACCTCCCAGGTGGCAGCTGGCATTGAGCTCTGGATTCAGGCCCCAGTGGCCCCTGCCCACCCAGCTGTAGGTGGCACCAGGCACTGTGGTGTGAGATGCCAGCTGCGCCCTGCTCGTGCACCGGGGCTGTGCAGGCTGGCACGCCTTCCCCCTGCCCACCTGCCTTCCTGGGATCAGCCCTGTAAGCTCTGTCTGCAGCCTGCCCGACAGAGCTGCTTCTCCCTCCCCTTCATAGAGGTCTCCTTCCCCGCCCCGGGTGCGGTGCCCCCCCGGACCGCACTGGCTTGTCAGAGCCAGCCAGGGACTCACTGGGAGCCTTGCCCCTGCAGGGCATGTGTTGCTCTCAGCTCTGCCAAGGGAAACGTCGTATTTGGCTTCTGACCACCCCCAGCCCTCGGGCACATGTTTGTGAGCTTGCCAGGACCCTGCCTTCAGGGTCCAGGGGGACATCTGTCCCCTGGGCTGTGGGTAGGGGCTGGGCTGGCTGGGACTCCCAGCAGAGGGGGCCTGGACCAGTTTGGAAGGCTGCCATCAGTGCTTACCCTTCACTGGGCCAGCACGAAGCTGGGCCTGGGGGGTGGCTGAGTATCACCCCAGAGTCATCTCGCAGAGCTGGGGCTGTCTCCACGCCACCAGGCCCTGTCTGCCCTGGAGGCTTCCCCCATCCATCCTGGCAGCATCTGGTGTATAGGATGCTCTAGCTCCATGGGAAGTAGTTGCAGCTTGAAACAAGCCAGAGAAACAGTGCCTCTGAAATGCTCCTAGCGTTGTGTGTGTGTGTGTGTGTGTGTGTGTGTGTGTGTGTGTTGGGGGGGGTGGCAGCCAGGCCAGGACTTATCCTTCTCAGGTAGATACACAGGTAAGCCCTGGTGTATGCTACCCCCCCCGACCAGACCTGCAGAGGCCAACAGCCCATTACTACCTGAACTTGCACTGTCACTGAGGGCAGAGGCCAGGTGCGTGCATATTACAAACATTACGGCAGTGCCTAGTGGGGTGCAGAGGTCC